ACGATGCACCATCGTCTTTTTCGCTGCGCGGCCTGCGCAGTGCAGCGCAAGGAGCTGCTCCGCCGTGGCTGATAGAGGCTGCCGATGACACGACCAGCCCTGGTCATGAAGAAGCGCTGCTCCTGCATGGGGCCTTCCGTCATCCTGGGGACTACGCGCCGCGTCCGTCATGTGAAGGTGGTGTCTCCCTCGTGTGGTTGGCCGAGGACCTTTTTTCGAGCCCTTTTCGAGCGCGGCCCAGCGGTCTCCGCGAGACCGCGGCCGAGGCGGACATTGGGGGCAGCGGCGGCGCGCGGCGGGCCCGCCGCGACCGCACGCAGGTTCCTCCAAGGGGGCCTCCTGAGGCCGAGGCGAGACGGGGCCGAGGAGGCCCGACGAGGGCCAGGGGGCGCCCACCAAGCAACTTGCGAGTACAGGTCGGCTGTCCCAGGAGAGCCCCTCCATTAGTGCGTAGTGGCCCTCCCGCTGCGGCTGCTGCGGAGCGTAGCGCAGAAAGACGGTGCCCACCGCCAGCGGCTCGACCTTGGGCAGGGCCCGGCGGCCAAGGGCCCCAGAGCCCCAAGGCAACAAAAAGGAAGCCAGGGAGGAAACGGGGGAAGAGGAAGGATGCCTCCAGGGCGCTCGAGGAGGGGGAGAGGCAGGAGACGGGGGCCAGGGCCGGGGCAGCGGCCTGGACCCTCAGGGAGGGGAGGAGGAAGGCTGCCTGGCCACGGGAAGAAGGGGGGGCCAGGACGAGGGGGTCAGGCCAGGAATCCTGGGCAACAACGCGCGCGGACACCCCCGCCCCGATGGTGCCAGCGGCCGCGCCGCCGAAGTCACTCCGCTGGGGCGGGGGTGTCTAAAGGGAGCAGCTGCGCTGCAAGCATCCTGGCCAGGACAGGAAAGGAGGGGGGAGGAAACCTCATGGGCGAAGTAGGGGGGAGATCCTGGGTCCTGGCCGTTGGCAGGAAGGCATGCGTCGACGAGGCTCTCTCAATTGATGGGGAGGTCGCCGTCCCCCTCCGCCTGGAGGGGGGGTCCCCGATGGTAGTGTTGTTGTTCCTGATGGTGTGGTTGCTGTCCATGATGGTGTGGCTGCTGTTCGTGATGGTGTTGTTGTCAGCGAACAGGTTGTAGGTGTCCGTGATGGTGTAGGTGTCCGTGATGGCGTCGTTTGCTGCCCGCGGCGCAGACCAGGTGAGCGCTGATATCCGCGATGGTGCGGTTGCTGTCCATGGTGGCCGCGGACGCTGTCCCCGTAGGCATAGCGGTCATGCCCCACCGAGCTATCATCATCCTGTCCATGTAGTGCGAGATGACTGGGGCCGTGTCATGGTACTCACCTTGATCGTCCAATCCATGGTTCGTCGCCACGATCTGTATTCGCATGCCTGTGGGGCTGGAAGTTAATGCACTGCTGGATGTCGGGTATCGCTCCAGGTGCTGCAACTGAGGTATCTTCCAGGCCGTGATGCCATGTGGGTTGTTGGGCTCTGCTTCTGGATGTGCGACGATCATGAGGATCTGGAGGTTCTGCGAGTTGCTGGCGATCTCCGTGATGTCCCTGAGGTCGCCGTTCCTTATCGAGATAATGTCGTGGCCCTTTTGGCTCATGCTTGGTGCTCCCCATGGCTGGAGCGAGGTACGGTTGGATGCCGTCTTCCGCCCTTCCTCGTCGCCATCTTCGGCGAACCAGGTGGCCGTCGGAATATGCGCGTAGATGCCCGCGATGATGCCCTCTTTCATGTTCGCCCTTAGTTGGTTGGTCAGCCTCCTCGTGGTAGTCGAATCACGCCCCTGATGTAGGCTGATGTGGGCGCACTCGGTCACCCGCAAGCTGTAGGTGTCCTGAGCGATCATATGCTGGAAGATGTTGTTGCGCATCCCAGGGCCATCGTCTATAGCAACAATAACCTGCCGTGATGAAGAATTTGGGATATGAGGGTGCTGCGCGGGTTGTCTCGTGCGGAGTGGGGCGAAACATTGGGTTGCTGTGGGGACGTCGAGGATAGGTAGAGGCGTGATGTCGCATCGATGAGCAGGTGGTGCTCCGCACGCTTCGGGTCGTCCATCACGCCGGTTCTTTGTAGTAACTTCCTTATAGTGGGTGCTGTTGAAGGGGATCTGCTGGTCGGTCAAGGGCGCGCCGTAGATTGTGTGCCAAGCGTACCAGGGCGCTGAACATTGTCTTGATGCCTGTAAGTGCTTGACAAGTCGTGGGTAAGAACGGAATTCCGTTTGGCAGCATCGGCACGCTGTGCATGTCGCCCAGTGTCGAGGGTCGGCATGGCGCTTCTGATCTCTTCCCATATGTACAGCCGCCCCTGCTTAGTGGCGGTGGCCCGTTCGCAATGTAGCAGATGTACTCCGCGACCGGTGTATCTGTAACTGGGCGTCCGTTCGCGGAATCTTGCTGGGCGTGTCCGATGTCTCGGCTTGTTCTATCTGTCTTGGCATCTTCGCATGCGTGTCTTAAGAATGCATTGGTGGCTGTGCCCACAGCCGAATTGAACTCCTTCGGCTTCCGCCTAGCCCAGTCGATGATGCGGTGATCGCCTTGGCCTTCGGCGTTCCATCTCCCATGTCTGAGGTGCGCTCGGAGGAAGTTAAAGTCATTCTTGAGCAACTGTACCCATCCTCGTTTAACAGTGGCGATATTGTCAAGGAGTCGTAGCAGCACCCGTGGTGCGTTGTTAAGTAGGCGAGGTAGGTATTTGAGTCGTGCTATTGACTGGTGGGTTGAAGAATCGGGGACTCCCGTGGCTGCTATGACCTCCCTCGCTGCGGTGTGGAGGGTGGGGGAGTTGGTCTTCGGTAGTCCCATAGCGACACGGTGTGGCCCTGTATACTTAACCTCCGCGAACTTATTGTCCTTGTTTGTCAGGTCGTCCCAGGTGTGGTGTTTGAACGTAAGTGCAGAGGTAGATAGGGCGTGTACATATTTGATATTAGCGTTTGCTGGGAGTCCTTTTCTTCGTAAGATTTGCCGCTCCAGGGCTGTAGTCGCTGCGGCGGATCGGTAGGCTCGAAGTGCGGTCTCGGGCCCCATTGCTGCCCCAGTAGTGATGATCGTGCCCAAGGCCTTCTGCTGGTCGGAGGTCTTCAATTTTCTGGTGATGTCGGGGAGGTTGAGGGTGCTGATTCGGTCCGTTGTCATTCGCTGCCTTTCCTTCCCTGCGTTGTTGCCGTAGAAACTGAGGATAACCTCTGCATGTGTTTCTGGGCGCGGCTCGAGACCGAAGGAGAGGGCAGCGTGGCAAAGGTTGGTGGCTACGGCAGTAGTTGCGTCAAACAGGTCTATAGCGTTGGCTGTAGATATGACTCTGGTGAGGTCATCGACGTATGATATGTGCCGTAGTATGTATCCGTCGCGTTGCTCTTGAGCGAAAACTGGGTTCGAGCAAGGAGGGATCGGATGGCCGTCGTAGTCGTCGTGCTGGGCGTTGGCGTCCTTGTCGATCGCGCCCAGGAGCAAAGCGAAGTGCATGTTGAAGGTTACGTCGGAGCATGGAACTCCAGGTCGGGCACGCGCGGTTGGCACCTGATAGTAAGTGGCCTCTCGGGCTGTCATCCAGCCGGATGCATGGCGGTCCGGGATCATCTCGCAAAGGTGCTCGTCATCGATTTGTTGCGCGGTATCTTCTGGGCGCTGCAAGTTCTGTGTCAGGACTGGTCTGAGCCACGGTGGGATATCGATATTGTCGATGAGGCCGTCGAGCTCCACGGTGGTAGTTGGGGGGGGGCTTCATGGTGAACTCCCTGGTCACGGAGTGGAATACTTCTCGTAGGTCGACGAATCCGATGGCCCCCGACCTCCCTTTCTGCTTGCAATCCGTGGCAAAGGCCATGGTAGCGCGAGTAACGAAGTCCGTGACCACGCGGGGTCGGGCCCCGCACTGGGTCGCTTTGCGGATAAGGAGGAGTGCGTCTTGCCGATAGTATTGTTTAGTAATATGCTTCTATAGGACTGCTCTCTTTCAAGGGCTCCTGCTCCTTTGTAGAAGTGTGTCGAGCAACCGCCTTTCGCTGCTAGTGGCTCGATGGACTGCACCTGCATCTTGACCAGGATGGGGTGATGTAGTCGCGCCAGCGATGATGGGGCTGCCTTTGCCATGTCGTACGTGATGCCATCTGGACCTCCCCGTCTTCCTGGGCGCGCTCCTGCAAGGATTGTCGCGAGCTGCCCGATGGTCATGATGTTGCTGATGAGTGGATCGGGTTTGTCGTGGTTGATGTGCTGGTTGAAGTAACTGGCCGCCCCGTCGGCGGCGGTCTCCTTGGCGTGCTCGATCGAACCGTAGAGCTTGAAAGCGTGGTCGGCGATGTCGGTCTTGCTCGTAAGGACCTCTCCATCAGGTGAATGTCGGATGAGCGGGGTCATCGGCTCCTTGGGCGGCTTCCCCACGAAGGCTAATAGCCTGCGTGCCGCGACCCATTATTCCTTGGGGGTGTCGTTAACGATAGAGGTATTCATGCCGCCCGCTATGTTCTCAAGAAACTCGTCTCTGTCCGTCGCAACCCACCTCCCGATGACCTGGGTTGTTGAGACCACGAAGTTGCACGCCTGGTCGTATACGCTAATATTTGCCTCCTCTTTCTGGTGGGCCGATGTCTTGCTCGACGAGCAAATAGCAGCGGACGTCGCCAAAGAAACGTAGCCCTGCAGGTCGAGGAGGCAAGTGCCGTCGCTGGGGTCGGGCAGCAAGGCGTCGTTGGCCAGGATGCTGACGAAGTGCTTCATTATTCTTTCTGCCGCCCTTGATGCGGGTCCGTTGCGCTTGAGTATCCTTATGGTATTTATTGCTGCCCGCCTGGCCCTCAGGAAGGTAAATGATCTTGTAGCAATGCATGGCTTGCGTGGCGCAGGTAGGTCGCGTCTAAAAACTTGCCGAGCTGTAGTTGTGATTGCTTCAGTAATGGCGCTGAGGTGGTCGTTGACGCTGGCGCCCCATGCGGGGCGGGGTGCCCCAGCCAACGCGTCGGCAAATTTATTGTTGTAGCCGGGGTCTCTTAGCTTTGCTTCATCCAGCTTTGCGGTTGTCGTAGACTTCGCGGTGTTGATCTGGCACGGTATCGACGTGCGGACAGGGTGATGGTCGTCCTTCTTCGAGGATGTCGTCGCTGTTTATGCCGTACATGGTGGGGCACTCCGTGATACAGCTCAGCATGTCCGTCTCGATAACGGTGTAGTCGATGCGGTGAGGGCTGGCGTTGGAAATCCATGCGCGGCGATTATCTCCTCCACTCTGGAAAGTGTTGACCGCTGACAGGTTGTGAGCGAAGAGGAACTCGTGGAATCTCGTACAATTGTCATCTTCTTGCTGCGATAAGCCGGCTGGGCCAACTGCTGACGTGGTTATTGAACCCGTCTGAGCGTTGGCGTCGATCATCATCATCGAGATACGGTACTTGCTGGCGAGCTCGGAGAGCGTATCCCAGGAGGAATCCTTCTCGCCGGGGGAGGTGGGTCGAGCACGTGGAGCGCGGCATGCGCAGATGGTCTGCTGGAAGCCAGTCGCCGAGACCTTGACGAGTAAAATCCCGGGGCGTTCGTGGATGACGACGAAGTTGTCTGGTCTGAAGAAAAGTAAGGTATCGCCGCTCCTGCCGCATGATTTTGACGTAAGAATATGCAAGTCGCATCCCAAGTTGAATTTGTCGTGGCCGCTTGCGATGACGTGGTAATTGTTGGCGCTGGCGCAGACTGCCTCGGTCGAGTCCTTAAGGCCGAAGACGGTGCGGGACTCCTGAATACCAATGATGTGGATGTCGTCGTCGTTGGTCGCGGCCATCACCTTCTTTAAGCGGGATAGATTTTGATGCCTCTGTCTTGCTCCAGGGCTCGGTTCTGCCTGGATGTTGTAGGTGGCGAATGTGATCGTGGCTACTGTCTCCCGCTGCTTCTTGTCGGCGTCTCGGTGTACGTGTTCCTTGGTGGCGGTGGTCGCGAATTTCGGCGCGTGCAGGTGGTCGTTCATCAGCCTCGGGCATGCTCCCTTTGTGTTCTCGTCGGCTTCGATGAGGAACTCCCAGTCTCTCTGGCGTGCGCCGTCCATGGTATCACTCCAAACTGGTTGGGGGGGGGTTCAACGGGTTGTAGGCGGGCGTGATTCGCTGCCGCGTCGGCAAGCTCGTTCCACGGTATGTGCTCGCGGGCGTGAACATGCCTCAGCTCGATTCGGTCTTTCACGATGTCGTAGAAAATGCAGAGGGTCTTCACAAGATCGATGTCGTGATCAGTGAAGGCTTGCCGAGTAGCCAAGTGTAGAGCTCCCAGTGAGTCGGTGGATACGGTAGTGATGCTGTCGTGGTCGAGGTAGATGACGTAGGCGAAGGCCCAGATGAGGGCGGTGATCTCGACCGTGGTCGACGTGGTTTCCGAGATGCTGTGGCCGCTGGCTGCAATAGTAGTGCCATCTTTATGCTTTCCGACGATGGCCCCCCTGGAGGGTGAAGCAAGTGTCCTCCCCGACGATGATGACTGCCCAAGCGCCGTCCTCGCTCTTCTTGGGGTTCTTGGATCCGTCGGTGAACAGGTGGAACCTTCGCTCTTGCAGTAGAGGCCTCGGCGGAAAACGTCGGAGAACGTAGTCTGCTGTTTCGTTCATTGTTTCGTTCATTGCTCTTGGGTCGAAGTTGAATGTCAAAGTTGGTGGGGCACTGCTCTTGATGGCGTTTGTTTTGGCCCGCTAGGGGTGGAACGTTAATCGCTTATCCACCGGAGCTCGCCTGTTCCCTCGCGGCCACTCTCGAACGCATGGCCTCCAGCCCTGGGAGAAGCCCCCCGCCAGGGGCGTCCACCCGAGGCTGGGAGAGGAAGACGGATCTCTGGGGCAGCTGCTGAGTCTGGAGCAGCCGCTGTCGGTCCACATCGTTTAAGATATGGAGCACCACACCTGGTGCTCCGAGCCTACACTTCGAGGCAGCAGAGCAAGTCCTCCCGACACAAACCTGCTCCAACTTTCGACTGAGCCGATCCGTGCTGCATGCGCCACAGCGTCTACAAAACATTAAACTCGGGCCACTCGACAGTCTAGCGTAGACCAGCGAGTGTTCAAGCTTTTGGTGGCCCCTCAGGAAACCGAAATTACCCCGGCGTCCAGGACAACCAGACATATCAAGTTTCTCAGCACGTGCACCTGTGACACGCGCGTGACGATCGTGACAGATGAAGGAGCCTGCTGCACCAGGAACTGCGCCATCTCCTTGCGCCTATCTCGCGGGGCCTGGGGACCTTGGGTCTCTCAGGGAACTGGGCAAACGGGAGAAGGGGAAGAACGCTCCCCACCACACGAGCCACAGCACGGGCCTGGCCAATCAGGGCGTCGAGCTGCTCAAGGCCCCCTGGGCTCTCCCGCGCGTGCATCTCCAGAGCGCGCGTTGAAAGCCGATCGGCCATATCATTCGCACGACATATTATGTGTTCTGCTGGCGGGAGCATATCAATGACTTCAGAACTTCCATGCGCTGATGTGTGATGCGCGTGCCCCACATACCCAGCGCCCTCGAGCTCATACAATTTCCTTCTTAAGCCTGCGCACTTCGATCGTCCAGCCAACACTTGGGCCGAACTCTGATTATGCATCCTGACTGCTCCTAAACAGTCCGAATGCGTCTGCACATGCCACATGCACACGTACTGCAAAGGCGGGTGCAACAACGGCCATCTGCTCCGCAGCTTGGGGCGTCTGGGGGAGAGACGGCCATGCAGGGCCCTTAAACCTAGCTGTCACTTCCTCTGACCCCTCAAGCGAAAACAGCCCTGCGTAGGCGGCCCTTGACAACTCTCGAATCGGACACCGAGTACACGACCCGTCGACGACGACATCCGACGCAGCACTCAAAATCGAGTAGTCGACGAGTGGCTCGCCAGTCGCAGTCTGAATTGTAGGATACAGCTGCTCGATTGGACGAGCAACATAGCACGAAGGATGCAGGAAGATGAGGCGGATCCAAAATAAATCTTGTTTCGCCCCGCCTGGGAACCCTCCGCGACTATCTCCAGGCTAGCCGCCGCCCCTCGGGCTTCCACACACTCACGAGTTCGACAGCACCACAGCCTATGATGGAGGCTGTCCTGCTGTCCGCACAAAGGACACAGGCCGTCAGACTCATATCCGAATGCGCGAAGGCGATCGCTCGTGACAACTGCCTTCGTAAAACCGCTTGTCCTAGCATACTTCTGACGTGCACTAAACTTCTTCGATCGACATGCCATGGTGCGTACGATATCTACACACGCGCGCTTGACTACCATTCTCATGTGCAGGCAAGCCTACTAAGCCGGCCATCGTACGTTCATGACTGCGCTGCACCGCCTGGCACAGTAGGCGCTTAAGGAGAGATGGTGATGTGTAAAGGAGCGAGTACTCGATGCCTCGGTCATCCACCCACTCCGTAACATGTTTCACTTCCCAGCCAATACGTCTCAAGCTCAACGTCATCCTGGAAATTGGGCCCCTGGACTGTCTCCATGTCTGCCCTGGAACATATTTAGAAGAAATCGCATCATACATCTGTGTGAGCTCGACGAGCGTAAAGAGGGCGCGCTCTGGTGCGACCGCCGATTGCCAGATTGCCACAGCCCACTGAGTCGCAGGAGCAATAGCCGCATCTGCCACAGGGTCGCCATGGAGCACGCACTTGGCCACGAGCGAGGCCCCTCGATGCGAGGGCGACTTGAAACTAAGCAAGGTTGCTCGAGCCCGCTTGCGCTCGTAGTCACTCATGCCGAGCACTGCACTGCCATAGGATAGGGCTGGCTTCAGTCCAGCCGCGTGAATCATCGCCATACGATGCTTCCCGTGCGATAGTTTCTTTCGGTACCGAAGGACGCGTTGATGACGAAGCTTAAACTGCTGAAACCTTTGCCGGCGTTTTCGAAGAGCACCTTTAGCCGAACGAAGCTGCCCAGGAGAGAAATCCACCCCCAAGATTAAGCGAAGTTGATGTGACCGTACCTTTCGGGAGGCCTCTAGCATGTAGCTGATGTGCTAACGACTGAGCTAGCGACTGCGAGCTCGCGATGGCGACCGCCTTGCTATCCGATCTGTCCGCTATAAGCTCGAGCTTGAACATTATATGGAAATCTGCTGCTGCTTCAGGGACCTCACGTAATAAGCTGCTCTTGCTGCCTACTGCCAATAACGTATCATCGTCCATGTAGGACGAGAGCCTTATATTTGGATGTCTGTTCGTAAAAGCATCGAACGACTCCACCGCATACACCTGTACAAAGGCATCGTTAAACATGTCGCCCGCTGGTAATCCGCTGCACGCGGAAAAACGCCACCGGGTGAAAAGCAGGACCCAATCTGACCAATCTAGGACAGCGCCACAGGTTATACAGTCTTCACGATGACCCCAGGGGCACCGCGCCTGCAAGCCCGATCCCGCAATAGATCGAGTTGGAAGAACTCATCGTACTTCTTACCGTCCCACTGAACCCCCAAGACAACCTGATCCTTGACGTGAGCGACCTCCGAAAGAACTGACTGAGCCCACACGCAAGATTCAGCACTCCTACCAGTTCCGAAGCCTCTCCCACACCCTCACAAAGCTGGCTAGCAACAAAATTGCACGATGTCCTCCAGCTGGCTTATCAATCAGCGGGGAGACCATCCACATAAAATGTCGTGGGAAAAGCCCGAGCCTCTCTATCGCTTCATACAAAACAGCAAGAGTAGCAAGGCCTGCACCGCCTAGCAGACTCATGTGCCTGGGAAGAAAGCCGTCCAAAGTCGATGACGTGTGCTGGCTGAATCTGCCTGCCGCACTTCGAATCTCTTCGATAGTGGCACGAGGGAAACATTCACGATCAGGAACTTCGGCAACAGGAGGTTGGCAGCTGGCCTGCCATTGCAGTTGAAGAGCTTCGGCCTCAGACGCTGGAGAGAATACCAGGCGCACGTTCAACAACACTGGGGGGCCATACCTCCTGAAGACGGGTGATATCATGCATCATCTTAGATGAACCCTTGAGCGCTTGATCACACCATTCGTTCCAAGACTGGCTACGTAATAGATTCACCAAGGTAGTTGAGGCTACGAATCCCACAGCGAGCCGATCACCAACATACGATGCCTGTTCCCACCAAGGATCATTATGCTTATCAGGATATGCACACAGGAGATCTCCAAAAAAGCCTTGACCTGAGCATCCAGTCGAACATCAAGCCCTTCACCTGGATAGCCTTCAGTCATGCACGCCTGATGCAAGCAAAGCGCACCAGGATTGGTGGCCAAACACGGAGAATCCTTCACCAAAATTTCGAACTCATGGGCCATACTCGATACAGCCACTGCCATCCTCTGCATGTCTGCACCTGGTCGTCCATGGAAACAAATCTTCCCAAACCTGGCACCCAGCGTCTAACGAGGCACCGAGATCCCGTCAGCATCGTGAGCGGGAAATCCAAAACACCTGATACTTCCATCTCAGCATCTTGAAGAAAGATCGTCCAAGCGTGGTTAAGCTGTCGCCATGCATTTTACACAGCACAGCATTGGGCAGAGCGCACTGCTTGACCTGCAAGAGTTCGGGCCGCAACATCTGACATGGGCTGCCTGCGAGGACCATGCGGTGGTAGCACAGGCATACGAGCATTAGAACAATGCACCAACTGCCGAAGGTTGAGCACTCCTGGCCGTAGGTGGAGTCGTACAGGCTTGTGTGGACCACCGTGCCATGACTGAAGCACTCTGATCTTATCTACCAAGCGAACCATATCATGAGAACACAAAAATAGTCAATCGTAGAGGCCGTGCTCAACATAATGCATGTGTGTCTGGTAGGAACAACTGCAATGGGCCCAGCCTTTCTCGTGAATCCTGACTCCTCGATAGCTTGTGCGTCGAGATTCCAATCAGCACCACAAAGAATGGATCCATGCGCCTTGAATATGCTACTGCCGAGAACTTTCAGAATGCGCATATTGGCCGCATCAAGGCCCACAGCAGTGTACATATACGCCGAATAGACAGTTAGCCCTGGCCATCCAGGAATGCCCACTTTGGCTGGCATCAGGCGACCCTTTTACCAACTCGCCGCCATCGGGGCTCCATTGAATACCAATGTGCTGCTTGACGAAGATGGCCACACCTGCCGAGAAAGATCCCCTCTGCCGTGCAAGAGAGGGGCTACATAGCACTCGGTAGCCCAGTGTGCGCGCAGAGCGCTGAAGATCTGGTATATCGTCGGCCGCCGTGCCTATCTCTTGAGCACAGACAGTCAAGGAGTCTGAAGTCTTGAGCCGCTCCAGCAACGTAGTTCTGCAATTGCCATTGAACGACTCAAACAATTGAACATCACCAGCAGATTCCCGCGCAACGTTCGCTGCACCACCACGCGGTGCGCCCTGGCCAGATACAGCGTTCGATTGCCGCGTGCGGAAGAAACATGGGGACGAGAGAAACGCTTCTGGA